CACCTGGAGTACTGCGTCCAGCTCTGGAGCTCTCAGCACAAGAAGGACATGGAACTGTTGGAGTGGGGCCAGAGGAGGGCCACAAAAATGATCCGGGGGCTGGAGCACCTCTCCTATGAGGACAGGCTGAGGGAGTTGGGCTTGTTCAGTCTGGAGAAGAGGAGGCTGCAGGGAGACCTGAGTGCGGCCTTTCAGTACCTAAAGGGGCCTATAGGAAAGATGGGGAAAATCTTTTTAGTAGGGCCAGCAGTGACAAGACAAGGGGTAATGGTTTTAAACTAAACCAGGGTAGGTTTAGACTAGATATAAGGAAGAAGTTCTTTACAATGAGGGTGGTGAAACACTGGAACAGGTTGCCCAGAGAGGGGGTGGAGGCCCCATCCCTGGGAACATTCCAGGCCAGGTTGGACGGGGCTCTGAGCAGCCTGATGTGGTTCAAGGTATCCCTGCTCCTGCAGGGGGGTTGGGCTGGGTGACCTCTAGGGGTCCCTTCCAACCCAAACCATTCTGTGATTCTGTGATTCTATGATTCTATGAAATAACTTTTGAGTCTTCTGGTGGGATTTGGAGGAGAAACAAGGTCGATGGCTCATGGATTGTGCTCTTTCCATATTAAACGTGATGGTATCGAGCCTAAAGGAGCTATTGTATAGACTAAAATTTTATATCGGTCCACGTAGCCTTATAGAATATGAAAATGCGGGTCACAGTAAATGTGTTGTGCTATGGAAAATATTGTGTACCACATAATTTCCGAGGTAATAGAAGATATCCTGGCTGCTATTCTTGCTACTGTACGAGTAACCATTCAGGTTTAGCTTTCCTAGATAGTAAGGAAAAAAGTTTTCTAACACTCTCAGCATTTCTCAAAGGGATTTAAGAGGCTGACAGCAAAGGGAAATGGAGTTCTGTTGGGAAGACAAATCAATGAGATCTAGTGCCCCTTCTGTCGCGTCCCTGTAATCGCTTTATCAATGTCCAGGCTCCCCGAGCTCGGGGCAGGAAGATTCGCGGGCACTGCAGAGCTGAGCGTGGTGGGGACGCGGGCAGGGAACGGACTGGTAGGGTAAAATTCTGTATTTCTGATCTGTGGCTGTTGTGTTTGCGGAACGAGACAAATCAACACGCTCTGTTCTCTTCTGAGGCCTCAGAAGTCAGCGTCTGTTGTACAGCCAAGCAGTTTCGTATCCAAAGGAAAAGATGAACGTGGGAAAAGGGGACTGCAGTGAAAGTGGGCGATGTCAAATGGCTGCGCCGTGCTGGGCACAAAATGCCATTTGGCCCGTGACAACAGAGGCTGCTGAGCTACTTGCCACAAGGGGCTCCAACGCGTGGCTCCGGTACAGCCACGGCAGCAGAGAGCTCCACCGGGGTGCTGCGCAGGCGGGACGCTTTTCCCAACATCGGCCAACGAGACAGCCTTCCAGTTTGTCCAGCCTGCCCTCGTGGAGTGGCTTCTCGGCAATTTCGGTAAATGTTTCACGTGGAGTTGTTCGCTTTCAGACTAGAGAGGGTCAGAGCAGGTAGGAAACCCCGCGAGAGCAGAGAGATCATAGAATCGTTGGGTTGGAAAAGCCCTTTAAAATCATCGAGTCCAACCGTACCTGTCCACCCCCAAACCCTGGCCTTCAGCACCGCCTCTGCCCGGCTGTTAAATCCCCCCAGGGATGGGGACTCGACCCCTTCCCTGGGCAGGCCCTTCCAGTGCCTGACAGCCCCAAGGGGAAGGAATTGTTCCCCATGGCCAACCTCACCCTGCCCTGGCACAACTTGAGGCCGGTGCCCCTCATCCCATCGCCGACCCCTTCCCTGGGCAGCCCCTTCCAGTGCCTGACAGCCCTTTGGGGAGGGAATTCTTCCCAATGTCCAACCTCACCCTGCCCTGGCACAACTTGAGGCCGTTTCCCCTCGTCCCATCGCTTCAGCTGAACGTGGCTCAGTGTCTGCTGAAGAAGAGGGAGTCGGACCCCCTACGGCAAAGTCAAACGCTCTCGGCTTGGCACCTGGTGGGGGAGCACTGCGCGTTCCCCTCCTCAGGGCACGCTTTGCCTGTAACGATGGACGGGCCCACGGACGAGGCCCTTGGCTCCCAAAAGACCCCGTTCATCTCCTTGAGCCCAGGGTTCGTGCGGTGCTCCCAGCAAACACACGGGGCAGGGAGGTGAAACGGGGCGCAAAGGAGGAAAGGGGCCTGGATGGAGAGAACCTTCCTGGCAAGGCTCACAGCCGAGGCGAGGACCAGCACCTCGAGTGGCAGCCGTGGTGCCCCCAGCTTCATAGAATCATAGAATGTTTTGGGTTGGAAGGGACCCCTAGAGGTCATCTAGTCCAACCCCCCTGCAGGAGCAGGGACATTCCTTATATCTAGTCTAAACCTACCCTGGTTTAGTTTAAAACCATTACCCCTTGTCTTGTCACTGCTGGCCCTACTAAAAAGATTCTCCCCGTCTTTCCTATAGGCCCCCTTTAGGTACTGAAAGGCCGCAATCAGGTCTCCCCGCAGCCTCCTCTTCTCCAGGCTGAACAAGCCCAACTCCCTCAGCCTGTCCTCAGCAGAGCTCCGGGGAGCAGACACCGGCCCCGCGTCTCCTCTCGCCTTCGAGCCCAAACAAGCTGTAAATATTTTGCATGTGGTTTTTTTTGGTTTTTTGTTTGGGTTTTTTTTTTTTTTGCTGTGCTTGGTTTCTAAGCTGAACCCTCCCGTTAACTGCTGATGGGAGAGTTTTCCAGAGAGCCTGGCAAGAAGCAGCGTGAACGTGCTGATGGGAATTTCGACGTTAATCTTCTGTAAATCGAGTGACACATTTTTAAGGGACGGCCGGGAGAAATCTGAATAACGCTTCCATAGCACGCTGGGAGCCCGCGCTATTGAGCTGAAATCTCACGGCTGGAATTCAGTGGACGCAGCTGCTGTATCAGCGTCCAAATAATGTGCTGTTCTGTTCAGGAGCAACCCATAAATAGCAGGGCTGCCCGCGCCGGCCGGCAGAGCGGAACCACGCCGGGAGAGGTAGCGGCGGCACTGCTGGGACTGGAAAGGGCTTTCAAAAAGAATTAGCGCGTCTGAGCCGAGGTCTCGCTATAGCAAACCTTTTGCTAACGCTTCGCGGGCAGTGACGCTGCCGGGTTTTGCTTACGGACGCCGGTCAACCCTGGTTTCTTCATCTCCTGCTAACCCCTCAACAGCCCCTCGCGTTAGCGCGGCGAGAGCAGGCAGGGAAGGCGCCTTCGGACGGGGTTTCCTATTCCAGTGGGAACTCCGTGAGATGTTCCCGGAGGGTCTGGTGCCCCCCTGGGACTGCAGGGGCAAGGGAGAGCCGTCGGAGTTACGTTAGTGGGGAAGGATCTCAGCAGCTGGAAACCCGGCAAATTCCTGCCTGGAAGCCAAGGGCAGGCTTAGGCTTTTAGACGTGAGTTCAGTGAGCAACCGGGCGAGCTGCCCAGGGTCGGAGAGGGCTCCTGTGTCACCTGGAAGGTGGTGTCACTTGGTTCGGTCGTGGGCTCTCTGCCCCCACGGTGATGCCCGGGTGAGGACGCAGGGCCCCCGTGCAGGAGGGAGAGGAGGATGGATAAGGGAGTGCTTCCTTCCAGCCTGGACATCCCCCGGGATTGACCGCTGCGGCTTTCGGGGGGAGCTGATTAACATTTGCTACCCGTTCCCACGCCAGCTTCATCTCTATTTTATCAACGCTTTAGGGTTTAAAGGCTGATACCTCACGTAAAAGCGATGCTGGTTTAACCTCCTGCAATTTGGGTTTTTCAGGCACCATGACTGAGCAGCAAAGTCCCCCCGAGCAGATGGTGACTGGGGAGGGTGCTGGCGAGCGAGGTGGCAATTACAAGGTATACTGGGGGCAACTGGTTACGGACAGGCTTCGGGCGATGCTGTAGGTCACCGTGCTGATAAATCTGCTCCTCGCCCACCGGGCTGAGCTGTGCAGGGCTGTGGGCCGGGGGGGAGGCTTCGTTCGGGGGATTTGCTGCCGCCTGGCAGGCGGAGACGCTGCTCACTGTGTTCCTGGCTGCCAAGTTCGTTTTCCTGACGGTCTGGTGTGCAGCGTCTTAATCCAGGAGATAAAGTACCCCCTCCCGGCAAGGATCGGCTGTAGGTTTGAGCAGGGAAATCCCTCGCACGTTTTTTTAGGTTCTAATTCTTAGGCTCGTGGGTTGGTTAGAGGGAAATCGGCGGCGGGCGTTGCAATGGCTGCAGCCCGGGAAGCTCCTGGCTGAGGAAGGCTGGGGGGGCGCGGGGGGCAGGTCCTGCAAATGGGGTGAAGAGGTGCCAGGAGCTTGGGCTGGGCTTATTGCTTTGCAGTGGGAAGAAGTTCCTGAGGACCCACGGGTGTCACCTCCTCCGTCCCTTGATACCCCCCATCGCGCAGTGTCTGCAGGAGGCTCTGCCCTTGCCCGGGCTCAGGGATTTCAGCTGGGACGCCCTTGGGGCTGGGGGGTGCCTGGCCACACGCGTGTGCAGCCGGGCTGCCGTGCCGACCCTCCTGGTCCCCGAATTGCGCTGGACACCCTGGGCCCTGCTCCCCACCCTGTGGCTCAGCCCCAAGCTCTGCGGGAGCGGGGGGTCCCTGCGACGCGCTGTGGGCTCTGCACCCGGCAGGGTTCAGAGGAAAATGCCAAAACCCAAGCTTGTTCCAGGCCAGGCCTGGGGAACAAATGGATCCGGAGGGGGCAGTGAGAAGGCAAGGATGGGCTGGGGGTGGGCTGGGGGCAGGAGACCGCAGCCTAGGCTCTTAGGGGGGCTCTTAGCCCAAACCCTCTGTGGTTTTGATGCTGTGTTTGAGCCGGTCAGCTTGTTTTCAGCCTGTCACAGATGAAATACCAACCTACGTTTTACTGAGCAAACATTTTTGGCCAATACCCGGCTGTGGAGCGAAGCCCGGGAGCCGTCTGTTGGGGCAGAGGCACGTGGTGGGGTCCGGCTTTGCCACAGGAGAGGAGCGGCGGCGGTGCCGTGGGGCAGCAGGGATGGAGGGGACGTGGCCAGAGAGCTCCGCTCTGCTGCTGCCTGCGTTTGCCAGGGGGGTCCCACACTGGTGCGGGGTGCTCCCCCCGGCAGCGTGGCCATGGCGGCAGCTGATGGAGTCTCTCCCCACTTTAGATCACGATCTATGAGCTGGAGAATTTCCAGGGGAAGAAGTGTGAGCTGACGGAGGAGCTCCCCAACATCAACGAGAAGGAGCTGGAGAAGGTGGGCTCCATCCAGGTGGAGTCTGGCCCGTAAGTCCGGGGTGCAGAGGACGTACAAGCCCTGGGGTGGGGCGGCAGGGAGAGCATCCCCGGCACCCCTGTGCTGGAGGGGAGCCATCCTGCCTTGTGCTGGGGCGCTCCCCCCATGCAGGGGTGGCCGTGCCATCCCCGACCCCCTGGCCCCGCAGGTGGCTGGGCTTCGAGCGGCAAGCCTTCGCGGGGGAGCAGTTTGTGCTGGAGAAGGGGGACTACCCACGCTGGGACTCCTGGTCCAACAGCCACAACAGCGACAGCCTCATGTCCATCCGCCCCCTCCAGATCGTGAGTAGTGACTGCGTTGGGGTGCCTGTGCCCCCAGGGAGAAGCAGCGCGGCCGCGGCGCTGGGGACCACCAGGCTGGGAGGGCCTTGGGGGGCAGGGGGCGTGCGGGGCAGGGCAGCCCCTGACCCACGCCTCCCCCCAGGACAGCCCCGACCACAAGATC